GTTTTCGACAGATTTCGTAAAATTTTGAACTGTAAACGCTTACATTTCGATTTTTTTGAAATCTGTTGGAAAATGTTAACTTTTGACCTTTATAATGCACCAAGGATCTTCAATTTTACATCAGATACCACCCCCAAAGTTTGAAATCGAAGCATTATTTGACTAGTTATGCTGTACACACACCCACAAAAAAAAAACACACATCATTGTAAAATCAATACATTCATCACTTCGTTCAGAATCTAAAATATATTTTTCAATTATTTGTATGAACTGTTATTATTACTTAATCTAAACAAAACAATATGAATACATTAAAAAAGTTTAAAATTAAATTTATTTGTTTGATTCAATTTACTTCTGGGTGATGTTTATTAATATATTGACCTAACCGTTACTGACTACTGAGTAAACTATAGGCAATTAGTTAAAGAGTTGAAGTCGCGTACTGCTGTTTTGTGACTCTGTAGTAATTGAAAAATGAACATAATATGTGTGAGGTGTGAGTGTCGAAGTACGCTACCATTACTACCCGCATATTACAAAACGGTGTGATATTCCGAGAAAGTGAGAAAGCTCATGCACACCTGATTAGCTGTAGGCTGTAAACCCTTTACCCTAAACTCAAATTTCAATCATTCCCGCCTTCGGAACGAGACCGTCAAGCCTTATCACAAATTTACTAAACTTCATAGACTTATTAACACAGAATAGATGATTKATGAAATTATTGTGTTATTATGTTAATAATAGGTATGTCTATGCAAATCTTCATCTCCTCAATTGTTTTGTTTTTTCAACAAACCATCACAACATGATCGACTTTCATATTATGTAATTTCAACGACATGGTCTCAAGTCTCCAACATAGATCTATTTCGTAGGTATGGTTATGATCTCTAAAACCCGCTTACACGGAGTTTCACGACAGCGAGTTTCCGATGGAAGCTAACTGGTTAAATATAAACGGTTAATGTTATTATGCGCCCGATAAGTATTTAAATGCAATCAAACATACATGATATCTTATCACAAATCTTATTAACTTTTTATATCGGTCATCTTTTGTTTTCACTTTTCAAATGTTAAACTTTTAACTAAAAAAACGTATTTAATATTTCAAAAATAAATAAATGATTTATATTTTCTTTTTAAAATAATGAAGTAGTAAACTAAAAAATAAATATCAAACATAAAGCTTATGCCGAATAACTGTATCGAGCATCATTTCAATAGTATTTTAAGAACATGTAAGTCGCTTTTTCATATTTTGTTTCTTATTTTATTCTATAAATTCTTATAACTTATTAATTTCAAGTATATTTTACATACTTAAATATTCTGCAGTTTCATAAGCAGGGTTGGGCAAGATACTCAAAAAGTAGTATTGAGATACTAGATACAAGATACTTTGCTTTGGAGTA